CGGCGGGGGCTTCCGCCGCTCCCACCCCCGCGGGGCCGAGCGGCGAGGACCCCACCACCACCTGCGTGTCCCACTCCATGCAGGTGGCACCAGAAGAGTCGTCGGAAGCCTCTTTAACGACGTGGCGAAAGTCACACCAGGAGCGCTGGGGCGAACGCGAGCGGGGCGCGGCCGCCATGCTTCCGCAGCGCGCGCGCGCTGCTTTCGAACACGCACCAAGTCCCGCCTCCAGCGCGGCTCCCGCCTCCTCATTGGACGACGCTGGTAGCCTGGGCCCGCCTCGCACGTCGTTCGGTCCCTGAGCATTGGTGAGGCGAAAAGAAGAGGGTGCGTCGGTCGAGTCGGGAATCAGCCTTGCAATTGGTCAGAATCAGAGACCCCGCCTTCACGGCATTTTCAACCAACGGGAGCGCAGCATTCTTCATTTTTAAACTCGATATAAACGCCGGTCGGGCTAACGCTTGGATTGGCGCGAGAGTTTTGAAAGGCGCTCGTTCTAGTCATGTCGCCGGTCTTACAGGACGCCATGACCGTCCCGTCCGCGGCGGAGCTGGACTCCTTCAAGTACGGAGACCTGCAGAACTTGGCCAAGAGTCTGGGCCTCCGCGCTAACCTGAAGGTGCGGGGCTGGCGGCGGGCGGGCGGGCGGCGCTGCGGGCCCGGGAAGAGGCCGCGACCGCCTCCTGGGCCCGAGCCAGTGTTTAGAGGCCGAAAAAGGAGGCGCGGTTGTCACCTCATCTTGAGTGTGGCTTCTCCCGAGAGCCGGGGCGGGCTGGGTTGTGTGGCAGCACTTGGGGTGCTTCGCGGGCCGTGGGTGAGGAAACGCTGGCCCGGGCCGCCGCGGGGCCGAGCGCGGGCTGCGCGGCCGCTGCAGAGCCGCAGCGGTGTTTCCTCTTAGTGCAAACTGTGGTCCAGCCCGTGACCCTTCGGTGCGTGATTGGGAGACCCGGCCCCTGCGGATAGGCCCCGGTCTGGTGGGGTTGGCGAGCCGTTCACCGATCGCTGTTGTGGTGCTCCTGTTCAAAACCCGTCAGGTCTGTCTGTGTCCGAGCTGGCCGTGTTGAGGGAAATGGTGAGCATCCGCTATGGGATGGGACATTTATATATTGTACTTGAGGTTTCCCCGGTGCGTTTGCAAGCGGTGATCCTCATTCTGATTATCTACTCAGTCGTCGTGCATGTTTTTAAATAACTCAAGCAGGACGATCAGAGCCCAAGGAACCCTTTGAATAAAGGAGGGTCCTTGGGGATATGTCTAGGCTGTCGTGTTTAATGGCTCCCCAGTATTTTACGCATAGTTCACTTCCTTGGACTCAGTCCTGTCATTTTGTTTTTTTGCTATTTGGCTGGAATCCTTTTTCCCCTGCCTTGTGACAGAGTTGTTATGTAACCTCAACCTCGCCTTCTTCCCTCAGCCTCCCTAGAGCTAGGATTGCAGGTGTGCCCCACCAAGAGCATTTTATTCAAGGCTGCATCCCTAAAAACAAAAAGTGGAAGGTAGAGTCTCACTGTATGCCAGGCCTACCTGGGCTGTGAGCCTCCTGTTGTTGGCTCTGCCCCACCTCGCAGGGGATGACAGCAATTGAGCCCAACCATTGCATCTCCCGGATAGCTGGCATAACACCTGCACACAACCTCCCCCAGGGGTTCTGAGATAGAAGCTGGAAGCTCTACAACTTTTTTGCCCAGACTAGCCTCGAACCTCGATACCCTAATTTCCAGTTCCTCTGTAGCTAGGATTACCTAGCTCTTGACCAAAAGAAAAAAAGAACGAAAGAAAAGAGAGGAAGAGAACTAAGAGTCTGGCTTCTAACATGCCAATCATCTCCATCTTAGACAAGACCTCAAAGAGAAGTTCAAGGGACAAGTAGAAAATACAGCTGGAGGGCTGGGAAGGTGGCTCAGTGGTAGAGCACTTGCCTTGATGTATGAGGCCCTGGGTTCAATACCTCAGCACCACATAAGCAAAAAGAAAAAAGCTGGAAGTGGCGCTGTGGCTCAAATGGTAGAGTGCTAGCCTTGAGCTGAAGAGCTGAGGGACAGCGCCCAGGCCCAGAGTTCAGGCCCCACGACTGGACTCCCCCCCTCCAAAAAAAAAAAAAATACAGTTGGAATGGTGCCTTATATCTGGAATGATGCAGAGCATTCTGGTAGAGTGGATTGGAGGATGTGCCCTCAGAGCATAAGCTTTGATGTATAAGCCCATGTCATCTGGTGCTGCTTTGTGGTCCTTTCACACTGTTTTGCAGTTGCCTTTTTCTTTCTTTCTCTCTCTCTCTCTTTCTTTCTCTCTCTCTCTTTCTTTCTTTTGTCAGTCGTGGGTCTTCAACTCTGGGCCTGGGCACTGTCCCAAGCCTTTGAGCTCAAGGCTAGTGCTCTACCACTTAAGCCACAGCGCCACTTCTGGTTTTCTGGTGGTTAATTGGAGATAAGTGTCTCACGGATGGCTTGGAACCATGATCCTCAGATCTCAGCCTCCTGAGTAGCTAGGATTACAGGTGTGAGCCACAAGTGCCTGGCATCAGTTGCCTTTTTTTTTTTTTTTTTTGGTCTGACTTTCCCAGTGGGATGTGAGGTCCCTGAACTGAAGGGCCAGTTTTGGTCCATCCAGACTTGGTCCTCCAGCCTGACCAGAAAACATTTAATGAATGAGAGAAGAATGTATAAGATGAAACTCTTCACATTTTTCTCACTTGTTTCACTTGGTTCTAATTATCTCTTCTGCAGGCAGACAGGTTGTTAAAATCTTTGAAAGCTCACCTCAAACTGGAAGCAAGGAAAGAAAATAACAGTCAGGTAAGTATAATTATTAGCTGCTAAACAGTTGTGTTTAGGGGCTGGGAATGTGACTTAGTGGTAGAATGCTTGCCTAACATGCATGAAGCCCTGGGTTCGATTCTTCACTACCACATAAACAGAAAAAGCAGGAAGTGGTGCTGGCCTTGAGCAAAAGAAGCTCAGGGACAGTGCCTAGGGCCTGAGTTCAAGCCCCAGGACTGGCCAAAAAAAAAAGAAAAAGTAATGGGCAGCCAACACCAATTATGATGGTTTAAGATATGCAGGTTCTCACCACAGAGATCATTTATTGGTCATAGTGCCAGGTACTTAAGTTTTCATTATTATTTGTTAGAAATGATCAAAAATGCCCTGTCTCCTAATGAATACGAGGTCCTTAAAAAGGCAATACTGCCTGTGATGCTGGCTACTCCGGAAGCTGAGACCAGGCAGAAAAGTCTGTCAGACTCCATCTCCAATTAAGCAGCCAAAAGTCAGGCTGGAGGTGAGGTAGACCTGAGCATACAAGCTGAGCCAGTGGTCCTCAGTTCAAACCCAGTACCATCACAAGAGACAGGCGGGGAGGGAGAGAAAGGGATTAGAAGAAGAAAAGTAGAAGAATGAAACCTGTATGCCTTGCCTGATGTCCTCACAGTGAATTTGCAACAGTAGAGATACTAGAGACCAAACACCAGGGCTCTCTACTTAGCTAAGGTTAACCTCAGAGTCACAATTTTCTGCCTCAGTCTTCTGAGAGCTGGGATTACAGGCATATACCACCATACTCAGCTCTTCTGTGCTCCCTAAGTATCAAAGTTGATAGCATTTAAGCTATTATTGTGCATTGAATAATAAAACAACCTGCCCACTACAGAGTGCAGTGTATTGTCATTCAGTGACGGCTCCCCACTCCTGTGGTGCTGGGTATTGAATCCAAGACTTGGCAGAGGCCACTGGGCCACACCCCCAGTGCCTCATACAATGATTCCTTTTATAAGCAGGTCTGTGTGGGATGTTCTGGATCCCAACCATACTTTTCACTTTTAGTTTATGATAATGCAGGTGTTGTTATTCTCACCTCATTCTTATTTTTCGCTCTGTGGAGTTACTTTGGTCTCGGGGAACAATCTGGTGTTATGTTATATCCATATGGGAGAGAACATGACAGATCAGTATCTCTCTTTTTAGGGTGAAAAAGAAACTGCAGCCTTCTGTGATGAGACTGAGACACAGATGAGCAGTCAGGACCACGCTGGGAAGGAGCCAGTTGTCCATGTCACCAAAAGGAAAAGGCGCAGGCACAAGAGAGGCCATGGGAAGCCTGACTCTCAGGTGAATGAAGTGTGCAAGCTGAACTAGAGCACCACCTGTGCCAGAGCTGGCAGGGTGTTAGTGAGCGTTCCTTCTACGCTCCTGTGCTGAGCCCTGTGCTGCACCTCCGAGCTCCTCTTAGAGTATGGTTTTAAAATTCTCTTTCCTGCCCAGGTGATTACTCTGCACTCAAGTCGTTCAACAGTGGTCGCTGTGGCTTCCCTCCATTCCTTTGCATAGACTCTGGTTGTGTTCTTTCTTCTTCACTCAGATGTAACATTCACCAGGCATGGTCCTCATTTCTTGTTTTCTGCCTTCATATAGGCTGCCTAGGTCTCTTAGCCTGACTTATGAGCCATAAGTGAACTCAGCTTCCTGCTTCTGCCATTGGTCTCTAGTACAACAGGAGTGTTGCCAAGTTCAGTGTCATGGCACTGGCGGAGGCAGAGAGGCAGAGCTGTCAGTGCCACCCACGAGTCTTCCTCCCCTTCTCTTTTCCCCTTATTTTCATACCAATCTTTACTTTCTTTCAGTGGTACTGGGATTTGAACTCAAGGCCTTTCACTGGTTAAACAGGTGCTTACTTGGGCCACAGTTATTAGGGTCTTGCTTTTTTTTTTATTATGAAAATACTGTACAGAGGGGTTACAATTACATGGGCAAGATAATGAGTACATTTCTTATCAAGCATTGTAGCCTCC